GCCCTTCTTCTCCCCCTTGTTCCTCCGTCAAGTTCCTCCTAATCCTCCTATACGTGCAAACATATGATATTTGTCCTTCTCTGCCTGACATTTCGCTCAGCATAACACCCTCAAGGTCCATCCATGTTGCTACACATGGCCAGATTTCATTCTTTCTCATTGCCATGTAGTATTCCATGGTATAGATAAACCACATCTTCTTGATCCATTCATCTGTTGATGGACACTTAGGCTCTGAAAGATACAGTCTTAAAAACCTTTCAGAATGTTTCTAGGAGAGGGGGCACCTGGGTGGCTGAGTCGGCTGAGTGTCTGACTTCAGCTCAGATCATGATCTTGCTGTTCATGTGTTTGAGTGCAGCATTAGGCTCTATGCTCACAGCTCAGAGCCTGGAGCCTGCTTCGAATTCTGTGTCTCCCCCTCTCTCTCTCTCCCTCTCTTCCCGACTCATGCTCTGTCTGTCTCTCTCTCTCTCTCCAAAATAAATAAACATTGTGAAAAAAAGAATGTTTCTAGGAAATTGTTTAGTTCTAAGTCTGTAATTATTTCTCTTTGCTTTATAACAGGAAGGAGTAAGTTTTGCTTTTAGTTGCCTGTATCTCACACCCGATAGGGATAGAATCTTTGCACTGGGAGGACTTTGGTGGTCAGTGGTGGTCTGACAATTCTTTATGCAGCAGTCTTTCCTGTAATTTTCCTGACAAGCTGTTTATCTAGCCTCGATTTGAATGCTGCAGTGATGGGGAACTCATTACCTCAGACAATATCTGTTCCATTTTGTGGTTGTGTCTTGGGCACAGAAGGTTCTCTTTTTTACTCTGCTAACATTTACCCAATAGATGTGGCTCTAGTTTTGTAGCTGCATGTAATGTCCATGTAAAACTTTTTCAGAGATTTGAATATGGCCAAACACTGCCAGCTTCCTTAAATGCTCATCTTATGACCTAATTTCCAGACAGTCTTCCTTGATCTAGTTACCTTCTTCTGGACTCCTTGTAGTTTTCATTGTCAGTCTTAAAATGAGGAGGTTTAGAGCGTACACAGTTTTGTCAATATCTTAACATCTAGAATGCTGTAAAGGTTTATTGAGATAGCTAAGATTCCATTAGGGGTTGTCTTCCTTTTTTTTCAACAGCCATGTCAAATATATATGTCTTATAGAATCATGTAGTATATTAGCAAAAAACAGATTAAATTGGAAGTCAGTTGACCTGTATTTACTCTGGATCTAAAGTTGTGTGATATACTTAGTTGTGTGATTTCCTTTTCGTTAAGATGAGAGGGTGGACTATATATCTCCAAGTTTCCTTCTATTGCAGAAATGTTTGGCAACTGCTTTGAGCAGGTAACTGAATATGAAAAGCTTTGAATAGTACACACAACAAAGGGTATTCTTTTCCTTTTTTCTAAGTTATATTTTGATTAGTAACTGTACATACATTTATTAAATTAACTGCAAAATAAGGGATATTAGGGGGAGTTAGAAAGTCTATAAAATATTTTTCCTTTGAGAGTTTTGTAGAACATAAACTTTGGGGAGGACAATATTAATAATTAAATTGTTTTATAAATGAGGTACTGTCATAAATAACAAGCATACATTTGAGTCAGGTGTATTTTTAACATTCTAGAGCAAAAACTCAGACTCTGATTAAAACAAACTCAGATTGCTAATGTCCCATCTTCTAATATCTTTATGAAAGAGACCTAACATTTTTCTTTGAATTGATATGGGCTAATGAGTCACATGGTAAATTCTGATATTTCTTTTTTCATTTAAAAAAATTTTTATGTTTATTTTATTTTTGAAAGAGAAAGAGTGGGGAAGGGCAGAGAGAGAGGGAGACACAGAATCTGAAGCAGGCTCCAAGCTCTGAGCTGTCAGAAGCAAAGAGCCCAACCTGGGGCCCACGAACCGTGAGATCATGACCTGAGTCGAAGCAGGAGCCTTACCTAACTGAGCCATCCAGGCACCCTTTGATACTTCTAATTAGTAAAACTTGATTAGTTGGAAATCATGAATCTCTGTCAGTAACTTGCTTTAAGTTCTAATACTGCTACCAATTTTAATATCCTATACACACAATACATGCAATATCCTAATGCACAATGAAAATTAAGATGAAAATATTGATTTTCTTGAGGCTTTATGTTTTGAACTCTGTAAACATAATTCTAGCATGTGATGAACTACAAAAGTCTTTGTAAATCAAGTTGATCTTTCTAAATCAACTGTATTTTAAATTAATTTTAAGATGTTAGTGTTTAAGAATTCATTTTCCTTTAGGAGACTAAAAGAAAATATATAAAAATTAACAGTTCATTTTAGACTGTTCTCAAAAAACTCTGCATTGTTCCTGTTTTTTAATATGTTGGGTATGTTTTTTTCCACCCCTCCCCCAACTGAGGCAAGGTTTCTTAGGACTTCTTGTGGTTTAGAAGGGTGAGGCAGATGCAGAAATAAACGTCAGCTTCCTTTGTGGCTTACCCTCCCCCCTCCTTTCACATTTCATTGTCTATTCTAGAATACAGAAGGGTAACTAGACCTTTTCAACTGCTGGGAAATCTAGTCAGCCTTGCCTTTTTAGGGTATGAATTAAGTATTATTTGTTAAGGGTTTTTAATTTTTTTAAATATTTCTGTTAAGTTTGATATAGGAAAATTATGTGCAAAAGATTATTTTTGTTACTTCTAAACCACAAATAGCATTTTAGAATAGGAAATACTCTTTCCTTTGTAAGTCATCTGGTAATTATGGTAAGAATATTTACCTTCTTTAAGAGCATATAAATGAATGTATGTAAAATGTTACTGGAATCTCAAATAAGCTTTAAAAAATATAAATGCTTTAAGTACAGGATATAAAATATGGTAGCACAGTATGTGGTATTGTAGTAGGTGCATAACTCTTGCATTCATTCAACAGATATTTCAGTTCCTATTATGTGTTAGCCAAGTGTACAGCTCATAACAACTGTGGTAATTCGGACAGGCAGGGTCTCTGCCCACACGAGGCTTTTGCTTAGCGGTAAGCACTGACAGGTAAATAATTACCCATATCATTTGGTCACCTTTGTACTGGATTTGTTTAAGAAAGCCTTGTAAGAATACATGAAACAATTAGATTAAAAAGTGTTACTAGTTAATTTTGCTCCTTGTTCCTGAGAAAATTCTGGCTTGTATATGTAGTTACAAAATTAAGCAGAATTTAATTGTCACAGTTGGTAGTATGAACTATTTTTTTTTTCAGTTGGACAATTTTCTTGGTTATCTAGTTTCTGTTTACTTAGTTTTACAAGGTGAATTTCTGTATAAAACTCGAAATTTCCTTTCTGTTTTAGACACATTTTCACTTCTAAATCTAAGTGAGAATTGGCAGCAGTGAATTGCACTTCTTAAAAAAATTATCTTAAAGGGAGGAATTGTTTTGTAGTGATTAGAAGAGAAAGCTAGGAATTCACATTCCATAGTTTAATTCTTGGCACTCCAGTTCCATATGTGACCTTTCGTGAGTCATTTAATCTTAGTTTGACTTGATTTATCCAGTATAAAATCTGTAAATATGGGTGGTTTGAATACAAAGTAAAGACTGATGACCTTTTTGTGTGCTCATTGAAATGCATTGATTGGTACTGCTTTTGCATACATTGAGAAATGCCTTAGTTTAAATTAAACATGACAATCTTAAATAAAGATTCTTTTCAATAATCAGGCTTGTGTATGCAAATTTACTGAGTTGATATATGTTTTGATAAATGTAGATTTAAATTATAGCTTGGTCACCTTTTTTTTTTTTTTTTTTTTTTTTTTTTGACATTGTAGCATACTTTTTCAGCTTGGTTTCCCATTCTTTTCACTGGCACCAATTTTGAAGAAATTTGAGGAATAAAGAGTAGGAATCTTTGTCATCCTGACCCTTGAGAATAGCAAGTAAAATAACAATCAAGCAATTTATTTTATTCCCCCCCCCCCCCCCCCCCCCCCCCCCCCCCCCCCCCCGCCTACAACCCAACCCCAAATCCCAGGTTTTCCTTGCTAAAGCGCACCTGACATGCTGTGTTAGAAATCAAATTGGAGAAAGAAGAGTTAGGGAACAAAGGGTCTTCTCTGAGACCCTTTATTTACACTTCATTGGTTAGTTTGAGCCTTAGGATACAGGTTCTTAATTTTGGATCCCCTGGACTCAGGTTTAGAAGGTTGACAGATGGGCTTTGAAATCTGAAAACCCTCTGGAATTATATGTAAAACTTTCTATTTAAGGGCACGAGTACATTTTTCTGGGTAAGCAGTCAGTAGCCCTTATTAGTTTCTTAAAATAGTCTTACTCAAAATAGCTCTAGGTCTTTGGGAAATTAGATTTTGGGCAACTATAGGCTTGGAATACATATTTGTCAATGTCTTTTTAAATTTTAGCTGAGATGATAAGTATTTCTGTTGGAGAGAGCTAAACACCTACTTATTCCTAAAATGATAAACATGACTTTAATGCGTGTGTTTATACTTAGCTTGATAACTATTAATTTTCTTAGTTGATTGTGGAGTGTCCCTGGATAGTCTCCATAGGACACACATACCGCTGATATCTATAACAGGCTTCATAGATCACTGGCCAACATTCTGAGATTTACTGGAAAAAACACCTACTAAATTAGTGATAGAAAGCTTCAAAGATTGTTAAACATACTGTTGAAAGGCAAAGCGATTACACTAATACAATTAAATGTCAAATACCATTTTTGGTTTCATTTTAATTTTTTATTTTTGAAGGAAGCTGTTTGGATTAGAGAGTAAGTGTGGTACCCTTTTAAAGATAGTCTTTGGAAATAGGCTAAGATACATATGCTCTCTGGGCTCTGCAAAACAGAATATCATTTACTATGTAGGATTGTTATGATATTTAAACACAAACGTTTATATCAAGAGTATGGGATGGAATTGGTATGCAAATGAGATCTCACCTACAATGATAATGTATTATATTAACAGTGATAATTAAACACAATTCTGTTTTATCCTGTTACTACATTTGCCATTTTCATTTTTAGTATAATAATATAAATTTCATAAAAATACATGCAGTATTTGATTCAACTAAAGGCATAGTAGTTTGAAACGATTAATTCTAAGTTAGAATTATGTGTTATGCTAATGTTGTTCTTTTTGGAAAAGTTAAAATTGACTGTCCTCATTTTCCCCCAGAGGAAAATTTGCTGTGGTTCGACAGTGTATATCAAAATCTACTGGCCAAGAGTATGCTGCAAAGTTTCTGAAAAAGAGAAGAAGAGGACAGGATTGTCGAGCAGAGATTCTGCACGAGATTGCCATACTTGAATTGGCAAAATCTTGTCCTCATGTGATTAATCTTCATGAAGTCTATGAAAATACCAGTGAAATCATTTTGATATTGGAGTAGTAAGTATATACTTTAATGAATTTAAATAAATTTAAAGTACTTATTTTAATTGGTGGGATAAGGTGACCTGAAATGTTAAGAACAAGAATGATACAAGTATGACAAGAACTTGTAAAGATTTTGGGGCATCTGGGTGGCTCAGTCTGTTGGGTGTCCAGCTTTTAATTTCGGCCCAAGTCATGATCTCACAGTTCATGAGATCAAGCCCTGCGCTGGGCTCTGCACTAAAGAACAGAACCTGCTTGGGATTCTCCCTCACTGTGTCTCTCTACCCCGTTCATGCTTGCTCACATGCACGTACTTTCTCTCTCTCTCAAAATAAACATTTAGCAGAAAAAAGAACTTGTGAAGATTTCTGTTGATAAAGTATTAGAGAGACATAGTGTATATGTGAATATTTTCACATATACACAAAAACAAATTAAACAGCACGCACAGAAAACCCAAATGACAACACAATGTTTGGGGAATGTGGTGAAATAAGTATACTTCGTTACTAATAACATAGAAAGTTGATGAGTTTTTGTGCAGAACAATGGATAAATATAATTGAAATCATTTATATATTTTATCCATCTATTTGTCAATGACTCATGGAGAATAGAAGGGTGAATTTGCATGAAGGTAAAGGTATGCCTGTCACATTGTTTGTTAAAGAAATACATTTATTTAGTATTGTGTAACTTGTGAAAAACTGTTAGGAATTGTAGAAATAAGAAATAAAATATATCTCTTCCCACAAGTCACTGAAAAGCTGAAAACACCCAAGTATTCAGCAATTCATCACGTTAAGCGTGGGGCAGAGAGCATGGTTAAACCAACTGGCTTGTTAATCAGTATATTCACATGTGATTCTAAAATAGTACCGTTATGAGTGATAGTCTGACGTGTACATAAAATGTGTTTGAACATCTGCAGCAATTGGAAGAGATTAGCTAAATTTATGTTTAATATGCTTTAGGGTCTGATAATTTTTATAAAAGAAATCTGTTTTATAATAAACTAAAGAGATTAAGTATTTACTTTAGAAAAAAATACATTATAAGTACAGTAATTCATTTTAGTGGTTAACCTGCATCATTGTCTTTTTGAATTTAAAAGTATATTATGTAGCCCAGGGGCGCCTCATGGGTCAGTCCATTGAGCAGAATTCTAACTCTTGATTTTGACTCAGGTCATATATGATCCAGGGGTCATGAGATCGAGCCCTGTATCAGGCTCTGTGCTGAGCATGGAGCCTGTGTAAGATTCTCCCTCTCTCCCTCTGTCTTTCTCTGCCTTTCTCTCCCGTTCCTGTATGCTCTCTCTCTCTTTCTCTCTCTCTAAAATAAAAAATAAAAAACAAAAGTAATGTAGCCAAATTTTATTATTTAGGTATTTTAAGGATGAAGAAGTTTGTTTATGTATTTGTAAAAAATCAATATATTTTTGTATCAGGAAAGTTGATTACCTAGAATCAACTTGTAAATATGAAAATGCTTATTTTGCAAAATGTTAAATTGACAAGTAGTTCATTTAAGAATGAATACTATGGGAGCGCCTGAGTGGCTCAGTCAGTTAAGCATCCGACTTCAGCTTAGGTCATGGTCTCATGGTTCATGGGTTTTGAGCCCTGCATTGGGCTCTCTGTGCAGACAGCTCAGAGCCTGGAGCCTGCTTTGGCTTCTCTCTCTCTCTCTCTCTCTCTGTCCCTCATTCGCTCATATTCTCTGTCTCTCAAATAAAGAAACATTAAAAAATATTTTTAAAAAAGAATGAATACTATGTACATTTTCTATAATACCAACATACTAAGGTATATTATAGCACCTTCAAAATAAATTAGAATCACAGACATGCCCAGGATACTATCAATATGATTTCATTTTATATATCTTTTGTGATTATTTTTGTTAGATTAATCTAACCTTTAAAAAGTTATCTACTTGGGCATTTTGCTAAGCAAAATAAGTCAGTCAGAGAAAGATACCATGATTTCACTCGTATGTGGAATTTGAGATACTTGATAGATGAACTTAGGAGAAGGGAAGAAAAAATAAGATAAAAAAAGAGAGGGAGGCAAACCATAAGAGACTCTTACATACAGAGAACAAACTGAGGGTTAATGGGGGTGGGAAGATGGGGGTGGGTTAAATAGGTGATGGACATTAAGGAGTGCACTTTTTGGGATGAGCACTGGATGTCATATGTAAGAAATTAATCACTGGGTTCTCCTCCTGAAGCCAAGACGACTGTATGTTAATGAACTTGAGAAAAGAAAAGTTATCTACTTGCATGACACTGCACATTTGAAGTCTGTGAAACGAAGCTTTTTCAAACACAGTAATGGGATATTAGCTTTGGAGAATGAATACATAGGAGCATTGAGTACTTTCATAAAATTTTCTGTGAAGGATTTATCTAAATAGCAACAACAAAGTACATCAGAAAATTTTTACACATTTTATGGTTGGATTGTGTTCATACTCTGAAAATTCATTTAGGTACCCTACCAAGTAAACTGAATTCCATAAAGGCAGAACTGTACCTCATGGCTGAAGTGTATAGCAAGCACTCATTAAATGTGTAAATGGATTAAAATAATCTCTTACTAGAGCAACTAAGACCTACTAAAACTTATTACTAGAGCTTGGTTTAGTTCCTATCACTTTTGGGGTAGCATTGTCACATCAGATAATCTCAAAGGTAAAAATGTGGTCAGAGAGACTTAGTTGTTTTAATAAGGTGGCATAATTTTTTATGTGGTGAAAGTAAAACAGTGAAGTCTTTTACTCTAATAACAATTACCAATCTGATCCCCTCTTCAAATCATCCCACATACTTTTCTTCTTTGACTTTTTTAGTACAAAATTTCAAATCTTCAAAGAAGTTGAAAGAGCAGTATAATTAATACCCATACTCTTCAGCTTGATTTACCAATTGTTGACATTTTACCACATTTATTTAAAGTTTTAAAAGAGGATATATAACACATAGGTTTACATGACAGTGTACTTGGACTAAAGTACTATTATCACACACAACATGTATACAAATACATAAGCAAATGAATGCAAACCCTCCAAATTTCTAAATTTGTTGGTTGATATCCCATCAGAGGACAACTCTTCTAATAGAGAAAATGGAGCTCTACCTGAATGTGCCTTCCAGGGCAGTGATAATGGTATATAGGTGTCTTTTCTGACTATAGAGATTTTTTTTTTCTTCTCCGAAGTCACTGCTCTTGGGTGGCTTGTTTGAACAAACCATCTGCTTGTCTACTACTCACTGCTTCCATTTATTCTTCTAGTTTTGTTGACTTCTGTAATCTGCTTCTCGTGTTATCTGTTCATTTCCTCCTCTTACCTGCTCCCACTAATTTTCCATTTCCCGTAGCTCTACCTGTGTCCCTCTTTTATGGGAAAAATGGCAATCCTACAAAAGACGTTGGTCAACTTACCAACCTGAATAGAAGAGACAATCTGATTGACTGACAATCATTAATATTTGTTTGATTTTGTTACTGAAGGAAAAAAAACCCTTTAGGATGCTTTTCCTGGTTATAAAAGTAATACCTATGTGTTATGTTAAATTTAGAGGATATAGGGGTGCCCAGGTGGCTCAGTCAGTTAAGCGTCCGACTTCAGCTCAGGTCATGATCTCGTGGTTCGTGGGTTCGAGCCCCGCATCAGGCTCTGTGCTGACAGCTAGCTCAGAGCCAAGAGCTTGCTTTAGATTCTGTGTCTCCCTCTCTCTCTGGCCCTCCCCTGCTCACACTGTGTCTCTCTCTCTCTCTCTCAGAAATAAATAAAACATTTAAAAAAAATGTAGAGGATATAGAAGATAAAAATCATATGTATACTATGGTTACTTTTATGGCATATTCCTGTATTTTAAAATTATTTTTATTTTTTGGTCTGTGAATATATACCTTTAAAAACAAAATTGTGAGTTTGGGATTACTCTATTAGAAAGCTTTTTTTTTTTTTTTTTTTTTTGCTTCAGACTATATTATGTGCATTTTTATATGTATAATGTTTATAAAAATGAAGTTTGATTTAGCAAAGACTTTTTAAATTGCCTTCAAAAATCAGAGTTCAGTAAGAAGGCCCCAAATGCAGAAAGGCTAGATGTTGGCTAGACTTGGAATTAATATTTGTTGACTCATTATAATAATAGTTAATATTTACTGAATATTTACCATGTGTCGGACACTGTGATAAATATTTATAGATGATCAACTTTGATCTCTAAAACATCTGTCATGGTCAGTACTTTATATGGCTTATTTAATTCTTACAGCAATACAGTGAAGTAGGAGCTATCAATATTCCTCATGTATCGTTGAGTTACAGTAAAGGAAATGGAGGCAGCATTTTGTCCTAATTTATGCAACTAGTTAGTGACAGCCAGAATGGAACCCAGGCAGTCTTGAATTTCAGTAGGTACCAGTATAAGCAGCCTGTTGTCTTATCTCCTATGTCCTAGGCACCAGGGAGTGCTTTGCATTCTTTTTCTTAGTTTGTTTTCTTATATTTTTTGAATTTTAGAATTAGTGGAGGATTTTATCTATTGAATTAACTTTAGTGAGTGTAGTGTAAAATGTTGCTACATAACTGGTGTTCAGGAATGAATTTCTTAAGCAGTTTATATGCTGTATATATGAAGAATTCAGATCTTCCAAGTATTTTTCATATCTTAATAGTAGGTGTAAATCCATATTTTATACAGTATTTTTTATATTTCAAATTATTTGGTCTGGTTTTGCATCAGGTATATCTTGTTAAGCACACAACTCATTCTAAGAATCTAAAGTATCTTCTCGTCATTTTCTTGTTTGCTTATGATTGCATTAGTAATATTAGCTATAGTACCTTTGAAGGAGTATTTAGACCACTTTCTGTTTTGAGAGGATTTGCTTCATTAAAACTAAACAATGTAACCAGAAAGAGACGGAGTGAGGGTGTCACTAGCACCTGGCCTGGGGAGTCCTTCCTCCTTTAGAAGATTTTGAGCAGGGCTGTGACAAGTAAACATCTGACATGCAGACTAAGGGACCACCAAGTGTAGTCCCTGTATAAGTATTCATAAGGATTAATTTACTTCTTTGTAGGTGAACATGAATTTCTAATATTGTCTTCCTATACCTTATTTTGAATGTCACTTGCTATGTTAGTTTATAGCAAACTAACTTTTTATTTATTTTTTAATTTCTTTAAGTTTACTTACTTCTTTTGAGAGAGAGAGAGCACAGGAAGGGGAGGGGCAGAGAGAATGAGAGACAGAATCCCAAGCAGTCTCTGTGCTGTCAGTGCAGACCTATTGTGGAGCTCAAACCCACGAACAGTGAGATGATAGCCCGAGCTGAGTTCAACAGTCGCACGCTCAACCAGCTATGCCTCCCAGGCACCCCACAAACTAACTTTTTAATACCTTTGTATTAAAGATTGTCTTTACCATGATACCTTAAGACAGGTACTAATATTTTATCAATTTTCTTGGAGTTTTAAGAGTTGGGGGAAGTTGAAGTGTAAGGGTTAATGGAGTTTTCCCAGGTATTCCTTACACGGTTACCTATGGAACATGGTAAAGTGTAAAGCAGCAAATTTCTGCAGCCTCTAACTGACATGTATTGGTACATATGGTTTGGTGACAAATTACATCTGCAGTGTAAAGGGTCAGTCTTGTGCCTTTTAGTGCTGGACTCAAATTGACCACTGTTATTTTTCCTTCTTATGGCTCCTCATACATATGACCTGCTTCTTCCTCTTGTCAGTCAATGAGACTTCTGAATTTCAGTTTCAGCTGCTCTGAAGAATGACTGCCTATTCCATCATTCATCCATTCAACAAAATTTTACTAAATACCTTCTACATGCCAGACACTGTCCCATTTTACTACATAGAATATACTTTACTTGATATATTCTTAAATATACTTTATAACTTTTTGAATAACTGTCTAGATTTTTAAAAAATTTTTTTAGATTTAATCCTCAAAAAAAATCTAGGAGTGCCCGAGTGGCTCAGGTGGCTGAGTATCCAACTCTTGATTTCAGCTGAGGTCATGATCTGAGGGTCATGGGATGGAGCCCTGTGTGGGATTCTCTTTCCTTCTGTTCCTCTTCCCTGCTTGTACTCTATCTCTCTTTTTAAAAAAATCTATTGCACTCAGTGATGACTCTTTTACAGATGGGGAAAGTCAAATAAATTACTTATCCTAAGTTATATTGCTGATAAATAGCAGATTTGGGATTTAAACTTATATCATTTGATTCCAAACCTAGGGACTTTTTTTCTATGCTTTTGTCGACATTGTTTAGATTTTCAGTTCTTTTAAAAATAATAAAAAATCTGTGAAGCTACAATACAAGGTATTGGTTAAGAATGCAGATTTTCATCCATATCACACAGATTCAGATTGTGGTTCTCTGTTTACTATGCGACCTTGTACAAGTAGCTTAACCTCTTTGTAGTTGTTTCTTCATCAGTAAAATGGGAATAATAATCCACATGGTTGTCATGAGAATCAAAAGTATATGTAACTATATAGAGAGACTAGATAGCTATAGCTTTTACTTAACAGTTTTACGGTATTTAAAAGTTGTCGTTTTTAGGTCAATGATTTTCCAAGTTTCTATTTCAATTTTATTTCAGTGCTGCAGGTGGAGAAATTTTCAACTTGTGTTTACCTGAGGTGGCTGAAATGGTTTCTGAAAATGACATTATCAGACTCATTAAACAAATACTTGAAGGAGTATGTTATCTACATCAGAATAACATTGTACATCTTGATTTAAAGGTAATGTACTTTATGATTTTAAGTAACACAACATCTCTGTTCCTTCTGCTCTTGGGATGCATAATTGCAAGCTGGTATTGGTAGAAAGCAGCAGTCAGATTACACCCCTCTGTGGTGCAGTGGGTGCACACTTGTGCATCTGTGCTACATGGACTGAATTTTGTATTGGCAGAGAGGAGAGGACTGCGTGTGCGAGCAGATCAGACTAATCACTGGGCTCTTAAAAACCATTATTCCTCCATTTTCTAATCCTTCAATCATTGTACCCCCATCCCACTCTGACATCCTGGGTTCTCTCATCTTGTAAAACTGCCCCATCTCTAAAATACTCTAGTCTAATCTCCATCTCTGAAGATAACTTCCTTCTAGTTCTCATTTCTTTGTTCCCATTATATTCATGCTTTTCCCCTTGAGACATTTAGTCCTTTGGCCCCTCTTCTTTTGTACACCAAGACGATGCAGTGCCCTTACTCAATCCCTGAAATACCACTTCAAACTCTTGTTATCCTTTCTCTTTATCCTTCCTCCACAGCCACCCAAAATCTCAATCAGTCTCTTATTTTTTGAACATTGGATTCTTCTTTCTATATTGTCTCCCTGTTGCATAATCCTTTGCCCTTCACTACCACTTTCACAATAATGATTATTTAAGATTTATAAGTCTCAAACTAGACTTTCTTTTTCTTACCTATTTTCAAAAGAAAAAAAAATCCGTTTTTCTGTATTGGGCCCCCCTCTGGAAAAAGGGTATTATTAACTCCCTGGCAGCCGTGCCATGTCTCCTACCAATAAGATATTGGAAAAATAACAATATGGTACATATCAGGAGGATCAATCCCCCCCCAGCACACTTCTTGTTGGGTCTTTCTCCTGCTAAGGATAAATGAAGTGGATTACATAATACCATATAACACTTGAAGTCAGGGATGGCAAATAAACCTGACTTTGTATATGCTAAAGCCTATGGTTGACACCAGCAGATCTAATTATCCTTACCTCTTCTTTAATGTCTCTGTGATTTAATAATAAACAAGCATGAGGTTTTCCCCAAGTTAGACTTAGGATTCTTCTCACAGACTTTGGGAGCAGCACCTTGGCAACTATAATGGTTATGACAGTGGCGAGGAATTTTGTAATAGACCTCAGCAAAGTCACTTGGTTCTGGGAAGCAATGGGTGACACCTTCCATGCATCCATATCTTACTGTCTAAGCTACAAACCTGGCAACAGTCAGATCCAGAACCATCATACTGAACCATTTTCTGTTCCTGGAAATATATACATTTTTTATTCCTTCATATTTTCTTTCATGCTGTTCCCTAGAGTGCCTTTCTAACTGGAATACTTCTATTTACCATGTAAGGTTCAGCTTAAATATCACCTCTATAGCAAAAGCTTCTTAGACTTTATAATAGGCAGAATTAAGTAGTCTTGCCTTTATTATCCCGTATATCTCATAATCAATGAATCTGTATATTCATCTAACTTCTTTTTCATCCAAACTAAGAGTCCTTTAAGTATAATTTTAATTTCATTTATCATTGAGTGTAAAGCTTTTCCTAACTAGTAGTTCAGTACATATTTGGTGAATGATTCAATGACATGTGTAATAGCTAAACATTTAATTTACCTCTGATCTGAGACTAGCATAATTTTATTGTTGTATATTACTTACCAATTTTTATTGTGCTTTATTTAGCCACAGAATATATTATTAAGCAGCATATACCCTCTTGGAGACATAAAAATTGTAGATTTTGGAATGTCTCGAAAAATAGGGAATGCATGTGAACTTCGGGAAATTATGGGAACGCCAGAATACTTAGGTGAGAATTCCCTTTTATTTTTACACCATTTTGAAATTTATCAACTAAATGATACCTCTATAAAACCATATTTTAGAGCATGTAATTCCAGGATATATTTGATTCAGGTATTTTAATGCATTGAAATTTGGTTATGACACATTTAAATGAACTTTAGTGAATGTAGGCTAATTGAGACATTCACAACAATTCACATGACATTGGACATGTAAGTTCAAAAGTTAATGTTTTTGTGCAGTAGCTTATTACATAAAGAAAAATGGGTGAAGGGAAGTTAGGGAACAGGAAAAAATGAAAAAAAAAAAGGAAAACAGGGAGTCACATGGTCCAGTCATTATTATCTTTGAAGGCTGGCTATTGGATAGATGTCATTTCTACTTCTGTCCTGGTCCCAACTCTGAAGCTGTTTACAATATACATAATCTTCAGTTTTGCAAGAATTTTTAGCAGGACTGCTTGATTTTTGTTGCTACTGCTTAAAAATGTGAGATTTTACCTAGGGTTGTAAAAGGAGGATACCAAAAAAAGGTCCTAGTGAGATAATCTGGGGATATTGTACTATATCAACAAATAAAATCATGCGGATGAAAAAAAGTTAAGTTCTATGAGGCAGCACATAAATTTAAAATATTTTAATTTATAAAATGCATTTTTTTGCACTTTTTTGTTGTTCCTTATATTGATACCCCCATGCAAGTATTGAAAAGATGCAACTACACAGAACAGGTACTACTCAGCAAGGCAGCTGACTTTCCCAAAATGAAAACAAAGCAAAATTACTAACTTTTGAATGCTAATAGGGGCTATAGTGTCCTAGAATAAATGATTATGATTATAGGTAACACAGCTCACAGAAGTATGTATAGGGTGGGTAGGTTGTACGATGGACAGAGACTGACAAATATGTATGACTCAAAGTCTTTATTAATGAAAATGTTAGGCTTTAGGAAATAATTTTTGTGAAACAAAGTTATTATTCAAGCATAAATCCTAGTCTGGACTCTACTAATTTGAAATTTATGATAAAGTTCACAAGATATAAAGAATTTATTTTGCACTTAAGAAGTTGGCAGGGAAGGAGATAATGGGAAGTTAATTGAATAGGAAATTAGGTTTTTGATAGTCTAAGAGGGCTATTTAATCTACTTGAAAATTTAAAGCACTTTCAGAAAGCATAATTTACTCATGTTATTGTAAATATATACAATTCTCTTTACTCTGAAAAGAAAAACTTAAATCAGTGTAATAAAATAACAAACTAATTCTTAACAGAGTAATCAAACTAAAATTTTTAAAAAGATTCCAGTGTCTAAAATTTTACTTCTTCATAACTGTTTTTCCTGAGATTAATTTTAATGATTAAAAAAAATTCTCCATAGCTACTGGTTATTCCAAGAATATTTTTTGTGCTTTTGAACCAAGTATATAATTTGCTCAACATTAGATACGTTTAAATGTCCAATCACAGGATAATTTTTAAAATTTTCTTAAATGTTTATTTTCGAGAGAGAGAGAGAGAGAGAGCAAGCAGGAAAGGGGCAGAGAGAGACACAGAATCCGAAGCAGGCTCCAGGCTCCAAGCTGACAGCACAGAGCCTGACGCAGGGCTTGAACTCACAAACCGTGAGATCATGACCCGAGTCAAAGTTGGAAGCTTAACCGACTGAGCCACCCAGATGCCCCACAGTATAATTAGTACTATGCTAAATTTCTATCAATTTGATATTACTAGTTCTTTAAAATGAAACTAATTTTAATTTATTATAAAATAATTTCATGTTTTTAAATTTGTCGGTATTGAATTTCAATTTTATCTTTTCTTTCAGCTCCAGAAATCCTGAACTATGATCCTATTACCACAGCGACAGATATGTGGTAAGATTTTGTTAGTTACCTACATGCTTTCATTAAACGTTTGGTAGAATATATTCTAGGCTTCTTTGATTCCAAATGTAAATAATAAGGCTTTCTATAAAAGATTCTTTTCAAGGATTATTACTGTGCCTGAAGAAGACATTTACTTATATATTCTTTTTAAGTAGTACTTTGGCTCTGAGTCAGAGGTACAGTAATAAATAGGAATATCCCTTTCCTGAAGGAAGAGTTGGTCTAATAAAAAAGCACAACAGTTACAGTACTGTGTGAGACATTCTGTAATAAGGTGAAATACTTAATGAGCATGGAGGAAACAGCAGACAAGCACCAGATGGGAGATACCTAATATAGGTCTAGAGAAACGGGGAAGGTATTTGCTACGCAGAAAATGAGGTCAGGTTCATACAAAAGTTTAGTTTTAGGGGATTGTATCTCTAGGGCATTGTGAGTTTCTGTGGCTAGCAAAATCATATTTTGAACATCAGATATCATAGGGAGTAGAACTGGAACTGATACTGGAACTTGAGTTGGGATCATAGTGAGGGTCTGACTCCATAGGCCAGTTGGAAGAGTTTAGACTTGTTCCCTATGTTCCATGGAACTGTGATGGGCTTGCCAAGGAAAAATGGTCCTGTGGCTAAATAAGTGGGAAACATGTACTGTATGTGTTGTCTTTTTCTGGCTCCTGAGCTTCAGACTTCTCGTGAATGTATTTAAGGCTTTGAAAAGTTTTGCAGTGAAAAAAATATACACCTGCCCAATTCTGTGCTTTGCTAAACTTACAGACTTGATCTGCACAGAACTTCTGGTTATGCCTCACAGATCATTACTATGTCTTTGTACACCATTTAGGAAATGCTGCCCTTTGATCAGATTTGTGTACTTAGTAACCGTGTGCGAATGAAGAGCAGACTATAGATATCATGCTATGTATTTGATACATTATAATCATGTAACATGTGCATTCCCCTTATATTCTTTTTCTCTGAGGCAGACTGAGATTACATAGTTATTTTAGTTTTAATAATATAAGAAATTTGAAAACCAATTTAAAGTCTGTACTTTACAAGTTCTGAGGTCAGGAATATGCTGAGTATCAATTTTACTTTATATAAATGTTTTCAGATTAACATGTTTTAAGTTCCCCTCTTCTCTCTTACTTGTTTTTCAGGAATATTGGCATAATAGCATATATGCTGTTAACTCATACATCTCCATTTGTGGGAGAAGATAATCAAGAAACATACCTCAATATTTCTCAAGTTAATGTAGATTATTCAGAAGAAACATTTTCATCAGTTTCACAGCTGGCCACAGACTTTATTCAGAGTCTTTTAGTAAAAAATCCAGAGTAAGTTTTAACATTAATTTGTTTAAATACTATCAAAAAATGAACCCTACATCTATTAAGAAAGATATATTCTAAAACAGGATAAAATTATTGGAAGTATGCTCTCAAGTTTCAGATAAAATGGGAAGAGAGGTGGTATGAGATCATTAAATAACAAATCTATAACTTCAAACATGGAAAATAAATAAAACATACAGCAGGAAATTTCGGAGTAAAGAGAAGATTTGTGTTATTTCTCTCTCAACCTGCTACTAAATCTTGAAATTCCGTAAAATAATTAGAAATAGAAAGTTTACAATACACATGACTGACTATGATAGACTTTGTTGTGAATTATAGTCAAATAATTATAGTTATATGGCAAGTGTAAATTACAGACTATCAAATGTTTAAGGATCAGATGCTCTTTGACCACCTGCAGAAGAAGGGATTTGAAACCATGGTTTGGGATCCCACTCTTACTTCACTCATTGAAAACTTCAGAGCAGGAAAAGAAAAAGCTGACCTCCCATTTCTTTACTGAGAGCCGCCCCATGTACTTTAAAACGCCTTGGGTTAGGATCCTGGTTTTGTTACTTGTCAGGTCTTTTATCTCTGACCATTACTTAATCTGGAGGACTCATTTTCTTATCACTTTAAGGACAAAGAACCTCACAGGTTTTGCTAATTATTTTATTGGCTTAATGCAAGTCCAGACAAATTTTCACTGGCCATATTTTGGACATAAATGGTTATTTAATAGTAGAAGTAAAAATACTGTTTACTTCTAGTTATAAGCAGGTTTCATTTTCTTAAATATTTTTTACTTAGATTCTAAAATTTCTAAAATGAGCCACTAATTTTTTATAATCAAAAAATGAACATAAAAATTTCTATAGTAAGTAAATTAACTTCTTTATAATCAGAAAAAATGAACATAAAATGGTCATAAAAAATGAAGATAAAGACTAAGAAAACATGTTCTAATGGAGATGGTGATTGTGTTAAGGTTGTAGTTCTATCGATAGGTATTTTCCTAACTTCTGAAATATTGTGACATTTGACCATATTATTTTCAAAAGAGAAAGCAAAATGTAAAAACTCAAAATATTGGATAAGCATCATTCAAAAGCAACCTTTATTTTCAAGATTTAACAGTATTGCTCTTAAGAACACAAAATAATAAGATTATAAGTTACGTATGTTTACCTTCAGAATTTTATGTCTTTAACCCAAGAAGTTTTATAATTTTACTAATTTTTATTTTGTGAGGTTAACATATGTCCTCAAGGTTTTTGACTAGTCTTACCTGTAAGCTCCATGATGAATGGAATTTTCAGTACATGTCAATATTAAAGAAACTGTAGGTACTCCAGTTTTGGTATGGTTATTCCCTTCTATACTATGAGTATGTGTTATTTTCGTAATAAATTAAAAAAATAAGTCTATAGTATATCAAACTGCAGATGTTTCCAACTTGATTTTTGGTTCTCCATTTTCACTTGATGCTTTCTTTCAAAGGAAAAGACCCACAGCAGAAATCTGCCTGTCTCATTCTTGGCTACAGCAGTGGGACTTTGGAAACTTATTTCACCCTGAAGAAACTTCCACTTCCTCTCAAAGTCAGGATCATTCATTAAGGTCCTCTGAAGACAAAACTTCTAAATCCTCTTGTAATGGAACCTGTAGTGATCGAGAAGACAAAGAGAATATTCCAGAGGATAGCAGCATGGTTTCCAAAAGATTTCGCTTTGATAACTCATTGCCCAATCCCCATGAACTTGTTTCAGATTTGTTGTGTTAGCACTTTTCTCTTTGACTTATTGGACTGAATTTGGAATTTGAAATCTACTCCAATGTGAGATTGTGGCTTATAGGTTCATTTATGGCATGTTTATATTGTAAATGCACTTTTGCATAGAAGAGTTTAGGGAAGTGTTTTAATGCTAAATTACTAGTAGTAAGCATAATTTTGTTTCCTGTTCTGAAATATTAACTCTTGAGAGAAGAAAATATTTAAGTATATGACAAAAATAAAGCTATGCATGTGAGTTTACATGTTAATTGAAGAATTCAAGTTCAAATGGATTTATCAAAATATTTTACAGATGAGGAAAACAGTGATTCGAGTTATATTATGGTTGATATAAAACTGAACAAAGTGAAGACAGTTGAATTCAATAGGTTCTATAGGTAAGTTCTATATATGCCTCTACTGACAAAATTTTATTAAGATAACAATGTCAAGTTTAAGCAAGAATATTAACTATTTTTACAGATGTGGGATATTTTATATTTGAAAATATTTCAATCACAAATATTTTGAAACTGCCTAAGATTCCCAGGATATATGATCTGCTGTATGAGACAGGTCCTTTAACCAGAGCAAAGAGGGAAATTAGAAACCCAGTTAGGGATATTCGATACAAGTTGGAGCAAAAAAACTCAAAAAACAAACAAACAAACCAGCATGGTATCATTTTTTTAACTCAGATATCTTTTGCCCTCTCTCAGCACACTTCAGATTTAATGGGACTGAAAGATGGAGACTTAGATGGTACACAAGTGTAGAGGATTTTCATCTTCCAGAATTTCTGAAGTAGAAGATACGTAAGGAAAACTGAATATCTCTATTTTGGATGGCCAAACATATTAATTGAGTGTAGAAGAAAATGCTGACTTATTTTGGCAACTTACAGAATTGTAGATGTTTTCTAAGTCTTAGGATATAAGTCTTAGAATATAAGCCAGTCATTCAGAGTTCTAATAGTATACATAAAAAAAAAAATCACAATACCAGTAAGACTGTTAACACAGTGCCAGAGTCCACAACATCAAGGTGGATGTGGTCATAAAACCCGATGACATTATGCACATCTAAAGTTCTTATGTCAGATTCCAGTGAGTGAGGAGGCTCAACAGAAGGCCATCTGCAGGATGGCCTTAGAATGGGCCTTTGCTGCAACCAATGCAAGAGTCTAAGGATAGCAGGGTGGCTGGTGACTGTTTAGTGCTAATAAAGGGAAATTTGCTCTGTTTTTGGTTATCTTTGATGATTTTGCACCTGGTTACTATTAAAAATTCTGTTATATTATCATGTCAGGATAATTACCTCATGACCAAGTTACCATATCAAATGAAATTGTATTTTGAGAAAAAAAAAATTCTTGAGATCCCCCCCTTGAATTGCATATTACTGTAAAGTCTTTATCTGAAATGTGATGAGACTCCAAATAACTTAAAACTGTTTTTAATAGCCATCAGTTCACTTTATTTGACTAAATGGTGAATTCCTTTTAAATCTTTAGCATGCCTTAAAGGAAAAGTTATTTCTATTTGTGTGTGTATATGTGTGTATATATATATAGGTGTATGTATTTGTGTATAGATAGATAAAATATATGGTCTTTAGACAACTTTCTTTTAGAGATTCTTTCCTCTACTATATTGTGTCCAACCCAAAGGAGCTCTCTTCTTATGGACATTTAAATACACATTTAAATTCTTTAATGATTGGTTCAATAAACTAGCCATTGCAGAAGCTAAATTGGGCTCTGGTGTATCTAAAACTGATGAATTTTTTCTAAATTGTTGATTGTCCAGTTATTTGCCTTCCATATTAAGCTAATGCAGGTAAAATTTAGTAAGCCATTCATGAAGGAGGATTTTTACAAAAGATCATATTTTATTTTTAAATTTCTAGAGGAATTATGCCATAGTAAAAGTTAAAAATAAAATTTTGAATTTTAAATTATAAGCTGATTCTTACAAAATATTTTATGGCAGCTTTCTTTTAATCTGAAGAATCTTAAAGTAGTTCATCTGTTGCTCCTTAGTTAACAGAATACACAGAGTTGTAAATTTCCATACCTTTTTCCCCTAATAGTTTTTATTATAAAAAAGCAACTAGGAGTTGAACAAACAACATAAAAATTCAGTTTTTTCAATAAAAGTGAATTTAAATATTTTCACTGTTTAAAATGTGAAAATAAACTAAACCAGTATTTAGAGAGAACTTGTTAACAAATGACTCAATTCTTATTCTTTTTCTCCCAAGATTGAAAACAAATATTAAAAGTAGATGATATATCTCATTAAGGCAGGAATCTTAGTCCCTCTGAGGTTAACAGATGTCAGGAACACTAAAACACATCTGAAAATTAATGTTAAATTGTTGGATTTATAAACTGTTAAATTTTGGACAGATAGGATTAAAAAATAAAGTATAGATGAGAGTTACACTTGTCATTTTAATTTTGTCCCCAGGGTCAAGTTAACTCTGGTCAGTAAAATTATAATGGCACTTTAAATAAAAATAAGCAGTATGTGTTCTACAGTCTCTAATGAGATTAGGCCCCTGTCACAGAAGGTACATCAAAACATTGCTTCCTTTAAAGAAAGTCTTATTATAAAAAGTCAGCTGATTAATGATATAGTTCGTTTTTGTTCTGGCACAAGTTCTTTCTTTCACTTGGGATGGGTTGCTAGGAGCACATGGACCATACTTTGAATAGCTTTGCTCTAAACAACATTTACAAGTTGATATAACTGTTTACATTTCTTCTGTTTATTTTTGAATTTACATTTTTATATCTGTCTTGGAAATTTGTCTTTATTTGTTGTGTAAACAATTGTTCTTTAATTTCAAATTGTATTAAAATTAAGTTATCTGACTTCCAATTTGAAGAATTCTTATCCGTTTAGAATTTTATAAGACTTTAAAGAACTTTAAATTCTAATTGTAAATTTCACACAAATTACAACTGCCCCATCTTAACTTTCATTAAATAACCATGTTGCTTAAGCATACTGACTGACATTATTATAAATACTTCAGTAAAAAACAAACAAAAAACTTATTATATCGACTTAATGACCCTTTTGGTTAAAAATTAAAAAGTGCTTTTTTACATCTGTGATTGTCTTTTGCTTTAAAGTATTTCTGAGTTTGTTAAGAAAGCTTCCTTGCCCGGAGGTCTTAGCCTTGACACATGTCATTTTTCAACTCCTTTCCAGTACACGTGTGTTTATTAGATCCTGTCTGTTAAAAAGCCACTTAAATTTGAAAACAAGTCTATTCTCTGCTAATAACTAGATACTTTCAGAAAATGTTAGTAAACGGCAGTGTACTGCATGTTGCAAAAGGATGAACAAGGGATTTTTATTTCCCCAGAAACGGGTGAACTCTTCTGTTGTGTTTTTGTTTTTAGTTTAAATAAATTGAATTTTTTAAAAAAAGTGAATAAGGGATTCTTTAAGAAATTTATAATCTGATGATGTACATTACTTACGATAGTTCTATAAACTTCCCACAAACAGTGAATACTAAAACATTGCTAGAGGAAATACAGGGTTAGGTTCCTATAAGCTTCTGTTTATAACATCTTTCCCAAGTAATCGGTTAATACCTTGCTTTATGTAGGTTTATTTAAAGGGATCTTATTTAATATATATTGTTGATTCGTTAACATTGACTTCACTCCGGCAGCATTATAACTCATGCCTGAATGAAGCTCATCTAATAACACATGTTTCCTCCATAACGTACATTACAGCCCTGTGCTTAGGAACATAACTACAGAGCCCTTCAAAATTGCGGTTTGGGACATTTTAAATATCAACAAAAAGCCCAAAATTGCAGAAAGCATGACACTAAATGGACTACAAAATGGACATTTGTCTTACAGTTTGAGAGTTGAAATGAGACAGAGCATCACTTTGCTCAACCTGAGACGGGAACATGTGTGTCAGGCGCCTCAAAAGTTTTACCGCTTTGATCATGTCTCCAAATGATTGTGAAAACTCTGTGCACATTAATTTTGGGGTTAAAAATACATTTTAGCAAGTATGTATGTAAGTATGTGTGTTTAGCAAGTGTGTAAGTTCACATATATGGAGGTCATGAATAAAGAGGATCAACTCTACATGCTAAAATCATCACGTAAAAAGTATGAAGTATAATGGAGAAATGGTATGCAGAGTCTTAACTGAGTTCTAAGGAACTTAATTTCCTTCCTTAATTGGTAGGAAGGAAAAATTGATGTGTTGGAACTTTTTTAATTGCGAGCACTTTCTTTTCAGGTTCCATGTTTTCTATTTCTGACACAATGGCATTCCCAAACTTTTCTCTTTAGCCCCTTTTATCCTCCTGGACACTGGAGTCCTACATATTATCTTTATTTGGATGTAAGAATACTCAAGTGTAAAATAGCTCTAAGTAAAATCATGATCATATACTCCCATTCTGCATCACCTCCTCACCCAAACTTCTTGGCTTCCTGTCAGCTCCCTTAGTTAACACAGCACTGTTTACTCATACATCACAAATTGGATATCTCTAGGTGTCATTATAAAAATTTTGTTTCCTTACAGCACCTCTTCCAATTGTCATTAATTTCTATCAATAAAATATTTTTTAAATTTTTTAGCGTTTATTTATTTTTGAGAGAGAGAGAGAGAGACAGACAGATTGTAACTGGGGGAGGGCAGAGAGAGAGGGAGACAGAATCCAAAGCAGGCTCCAGGCTCCAAGCTGTCAGCACAGAGCCCAATGCAGGGCTCAAACCCACAAACCGTGAGATCATGACCTGAGCTGAAGTCAGGTGTTTAACTGACTGAGCCACTTAGGTGCCCCTATCAATAAAATCTTTTTATATATCTTATACTTATTTTCTCTTGGTTCTTACTGGCATTATTTCATCTAGATGTAGATTGTTTAGATCATCTAGAAAGTGGTCAGCAAACTTTTTCTATAAAGGGCCAGTTATTAAATATTGTAGGTTTGGGGCGCCTGGGTGGCTCAGTTGATTGAGCGTCCAACTTTGGCTCAGGTCATGATCTCATGGTTCATGAGTTCAAGCCCTGTGTTGGACTCTGTGCTGACAGCTCAGAACCTGGAGCCTGCTTCCAACTCTGTGTCTCCCTCTCTCTCTGCCCCTCCCGTGCTCATACTCTGTCTCTCAAAATTAAATGCTTAAAAAAAAAAAAAAAGGCTTTGCAGGCCAGTGTCTTGTCATAGCTAGTCAATTTTGCTTTTAGAGCATGAAAACAGCCATGAACAATATGCAAGCAAATGACTGTGACAATAAAACTTTGTAAAAACAAATGATGGGCAACATTTATTTTGTTGATCCCAATCTAGATTACCATACTAATTCTCTTAGCTTTAGCATGATTAAAATGGGCATAGAGCCAGAAAGACACAGGGAAGTGAGCCTCATTAGCACTCACTTTGTCTAGCAAGCAGGTGTTCAAATGGAAGAGGACTGAATAGTCATTGGATATAATGACTTTACGAGAATGGTGAGTTTGCAACTAGCTGAGAAAATAGAAAGTAGAGACCACAGGTGTTTTTGGTCTTCCAAGAAATCTAGGGGGAAGGGAGGAGAACAATAGTTTGAAACTTATTTTTAAAAATGTTTTAAGATGGGGAAGACTTGAGAATGTTAATAGGCAAAGGAGAGAAGTCCACATGGAGGCAGCAGTTGAAATGCTAAGAGTGCAAGATGATTGATGAGAGGAAATGACAAAGTGATGAGATCGCAAGCACAAATGCAGGTATCAACTTTGACTAGAATAAAAACTATGAAAACAAAAAACTGAAGGAAAAGAAGGTGGGTGACAATAGAGGTGTGAAGTGACAGGATGATCTATTTCTCCTCAGAAGACTGTAGCTAGTGGTCTGCTGAGAGTAAAGGAAAGAAAGGTGGGTGTGGTAGGAAGAATAAAAATTTGGCAAAAGGTGAGGACAGAGTTGGCCAACAGTGTCAGTCAA